TCATAGAGAGAGCACTAAGCAATAGAGATTGTGTAGAAGAGAGATATCAATAATGACAAAATGCAGTTCATAGACTCTCAAACTCAGGCCAAGTAAGATAATCAAGTTTGTTACTTTTTTCCCATCATTACTCCTGCTTGTTTACACATATTTCTTCTGGTGCAGATCAAAACTAAGCTGAGAACCTAGATGGTATGTACAGATAAAGAAAATGGGCATATCACTTAGAGATTTTTACCCCTGATATGGTAAAATCAATGTCATATATGGAACAGCTTTTACCAAACTTTTTAAATTACATATTTAGATCTGAGAATTTCTCAGCTTAGAAAGACAGGAAGACACAGACCCAAGATTTTTTTAATATATATAACTAACTACCAGTAAGCTGGACTAATGACAGGTTATAGAATATTGGATACTAGAATTGCTCTACAACTTTACTCTGGCTTTTTTGTGACAATCCTCTACTGTGAAAAATAGATTTCATTTTAGAAACTCAAATTGAGTATTAAGTAAAGGAAAAAAATAATTTTTGTTTAATAAATGTATAATTTATTAAATGTTTTGTTTCAAATGTATAATTATTCTCAGATGAAAAGTACAGTCTCATTTATTATGAAGTTCTCTCTTAAAATATATACTTATTCCTTCCATTAGCTCTCCTTACTGGAATAAAACAGAAGTTACTTTACTTGCAAAAGCAGAGCTGGATTTCCTGCCCCAAACCTGACAATGAGTTTTTAAATTAAAAGTGAATTATGATATGGTGTCCCAAGAGGATATTAAAACATTAACGTTAAGTAGAATGTCACAGTTAGAATTGTCAAACACTGAGTTGACAGTAAATCATACAGCGATGCCAAAGAGTAATAACCCAGACTTCAGGACTCTTCAGACTAATAACTATGATGTTGAGACAAATGACTATGTTTGGGGATAATGAGGCAAAATGAAACTTCAGGAAAGAAAAAAAAATTAGTTATAAATAAGATATAAATGAAAAATGCTTTTAAGTTTTAAAATGTACAAATGGCTTAGTTTAAAAATATATATCTATGTATATTCATTCTTATATATGTATTTATTTATAATACATAAAACATAATACCTATACTTCCTGGCTGAGATCAACACATGCTCTCTTACTTAAAAGGAACGGAACTTCAAGATCACACTTCCACCTTCTATGTGCAAGGGATATTCCTCTTTCTTTCATTTTTTTTACTCACTAATTTGACTATAGGTTGAGTGACTTTTCTGGGGAAGGCAGGCCTACACACTTCTTTGTCTTCACCATTTCCAAAGCTGCTCCTCTAGTCTCCTCTCTTGCATTGGAGTCTTTTCTAATAAGCAGAAGGGTGCCATTTCTTAGAGATGTTTATTCTGAAAGGAGAAGGAGCAGATAGGTGGGGTGTCAACGAAACACAGCCATGCTATTGGTCTGGTAGATGTTACTACTGTTTCCAGCAGTAACAAAGACTCCACTGTGTGCCCTGGCGTAGGTCACGTAACCTGCTGTGTCACAATTGCTCCACCTGCAAATTAGATAATCACCTTTGCCACCCATCTTCCTCTGAGGGCTGTTTTGAGAATGTCATAACTGGTCATTTGTTTGATCTATCCAAGAAACACTCAGTGCCCTTGGACCTCTGAATATGCATACCCAAGTGCAAGCTCAGATATGAAAACTACCTCCAACAGGAATGTTTCCTGACTGGAAGAGACAAAGGGCAGCCAATTGAAAAATGCCAGACCCAAATGACATCTTGAAGGTCTTTGAGATTCTCAGATGAAAGGCTTTATATAAAAATAAAGTATTGTTATTACCTAGGCAGAGAAAAATGCATGCATTTTTCTGTCAGCATTCAAGAGCCAAAATATAGTGGTGCCCTTTGCTCCCCTTTGATATTTCGTTGCATTTAGTTTGATGACAGTACAGATAAATCCTCTATTTGGTGCCATTGGACCTGGGTTACATTTCAGTATGTGGAAAATGACGAAATGAAAGAGAGAAGCCTTTGAAAGAAAGTGAAAATAAATGTAATAGCCAAAAGCCAAATAATAGTCAAAGTATATTTAAAGTCTATTAAAGAGCAGCAGTCAGGGTATCAAATGCACACTCTCTCATCCTCTGTGGTCAGCCTACTATGTGGACCACCTGCCTTAAATTACACAAATTCACCACATCCCTGGAGTGAAGTGGGGAAGGCAGGAGAAAAATGGGGGTGGAGAAGCAGCTTTCTTCATTCATACTCATCATAGCAAATTTGCAATATTTTTAGAATGCCTCTTTTCAATTCACAATTATATTTCAATCTCTCAACTGTCACTCTTGGGTTTGGAATATGTGTGCATATATGCAATAGGTAGGTAACTTGGAGCTTCAGTTTTTCAGTAGATACTGATTGACATGTATTGTTTAGTTATCAGTGATTATGCTGTTTTAGGAGGTGAAAGGGCACAGGAATATGGTAAAATGGAACCCCAGTTGGCGGGAGCAGGAGAAGATACCCTTCTGGGTAGACTGCCCCAGTTTGGTTAAGAAGCACATGTGGAGAGTCTGAGTTGGGAATCTTTCAGAGAAGTCAAGTGGAATCAGTTTCACAGACATGAAAACACACCAAAAACAAGCTAGCCAGATTCCTTATTAAATTTGACAATGACTGCTTTTGGGATGCCAAGACTGCTACATATAGTTGTGAGGGATGTTCAGTGAACAAAGGCACTAGGTCCATGGGGTAACGTAACCTGAAATCAGCCCAGCTCTGACTGATTTTCCAGGCAAGCCAGATGTCCTTTACTCATTCACACAAAGAAATATAGGCAAATGGCACCTGTGGGCTCCATACAAAAAGACACTCTGAAAGACTTGAGTTAAATGTCTGACTATCAGTGTTTGAATAAATGTCTTATTTTGTGCTTACTTGGGGTTTCATTCTAAACATAAGTCTGAGAGACAAGTATGTGAATTCCTCTGCTAGAACAACATGGGACTGCCATATTCTCATTTTTTTTCTTTTAGATGTGAATTTTGCCTCTCTGCCTCAGTTTCCCTCTTAGTATTGATATAATGGTTATGTCAGTTCGAATCAACAAAAATGCCATGTGACAGGTGCTAAACAAGGTGCTGGGATTATAGTAGCAAGCTGGATAGGCATTTGTCTGCATGAAGCTTAAAGTCTAACAAGCAACTATGAATCTATAGGTGGTGGTGGTTTAGTCGCTAAGTCATATCTGACTCTTGCGACCCCATGGACTGTAGCCTGCCAGACTCCTTTGTCCATGGGATTCTCCAGGCAAGAAAACCATTTCCTTCTCCAGCAGATCTTCCCAACCCAGGGATTGAATCCAGGTCCCCTGCATTGCAGGCAGATTCTTTACTGACTTAGCTATGAGGGAAGCTCTGAAAGCTCTAGGATTTTGCTACAAACTAGTAAATGTGCATTAAAAAGAAATAAAAATAGCAAAGGCAAAAAAGATGTTCTTGGACTCACTTCTAACCTCTGTTGTTAGGTGTCCATTCTTAGAATGCTAACTTCTCCACTCATATTCTTCCACAGTTAGGGAGTTCTAATTTTCTGTACTATTCTAAAATAGCAGAGAAAATTGGGGTGAAATAACTACTGTAAGGGCCACGTGCACATGCAGCAAATATCCCACAGATGAGACCAGCCTTCTGTGATTAAAGGTGACTTTGTTACGATGGGCATGACACAGTCACTTCCACATAGCCTTCAGACCTTAGAGAGACCCTCAAGAAATGTTTGCTGACTGAATAAGCATGCCTCTGTTTAGTTCAAGGCAGTGTCACGGTGCCCACCCACATGGTCTGTCGTTTGGGGAAAAGTGTTTTGGGAAGAGAGAACATTTCGAAATTGCTTCTGCAAATCTACATGATATGTAACTCTACCTGCACAATTAGACAACTGAGTAGATATTTCATAGGAGTAAATGACAGTCACTTGTGGCTATATATTTGAATATGTTCACACACTCTTTACCCTGGTTGTTATTTTTCAGAATTGTGCCGCCTATAGTCTGATTTCAAGTTGTTATTTGCATCAGTAACTCCGGAAAACAAAAACCTACTAGGAAAGCATGTCAGACAAGAATAGATCACAAATTCAAAATGCCTCTGGGATCCTTTGTAAAGAGTAGGAAAATTCACTTATGATCACTCTCCTTTGGTTCTGCCTCATTCCATGATCACTCCATGGGGTAAGCTCTACTCCTGGTTTTTCTACCCCACCAACAGTTGCTGCACATGCTAGTTAAATTATCTTTCTTTTTCCATCAGTTTTGAATTCATAAGAGTATTCTTAGTGGTAATTATCCTTATAAACAGCAAAAATAATGGTCTCAGGGCATTTTTTCACAAACAAGGCTTTGTATTAATAATTGTAAAATCAAAATAAAATAAAAAGTCCTCTGAAAGGTGCACATATTCATAATATTACTATTGGAATTTTTAGTATAAAGACATACTAATTTTCACTCTTAGGAAATGAAAAGATAAAACAGCAAGATAGGATTCTGGCCTTTACAGTTTACCAGGTGTTATGTCTATGCAGGGCAGTGTACAGCCTCACTTATTAAGAGACAGTTGTAGTCTTATATATTTTGTTTATGCAAAACTTTGTAGTAAAAGAGAAAGTTAATGAACCTTGGGGAACAGTTGCTCAGTTGGAAGAAAATGGGTAGTTCTAGTATTCAGGCCAATTCTGGAGTTTACTAACCTGTGAAAATCTTAAAATTGTGCCTCTGAATAGAGAAAAAAAACCACTGAACTAGGTCCAATTAGTCTTGGACAAATATCCTAAACACTGTGGACCTCAGAGTCCTTTGCTGTAAATTAAATGGCTGAATTCAATGACTAAACCTTGAGAGAAATGGAGACTTCATAGGTATGATAGAGAAGTGGAGACTTCATAGCTATGATAGAGAAATGGAGACTTCATAGCTATGATAGAGAGCCTACTGGTAACTGATCAGGGAAGATGGTAAATCAGCTTCCAGCTAAAATTGACAGTGAGAACCTCTCGACTCAGGAAGCAGATAAGCAGTATCCAGCAACTCTTGAAGGCACTGTGAAGTGAGTCACAGGGAAAACTGGAAATAATGACAAACATCAAACCAACTACCACTATCAGGATTTATCGAAGGACTTAGCCAACCAGGAGATTAACCTGCAATTCAGCAGTAAAAGTCTGATGTCATTTCCTAGAACTCAGAAGTCCTATGCAAGCTATGAGTGGGAAAGAAGCTGCTGCTCATAAGTGGAAAAAGAGATCATTCCAAGTCACACATGAATGTTGCTCATCACATCTAACTACAGAAATAATACCACCCGTGCCACCTTCTAGTGTAAAGGGCCATCTCTCAACAGGGCAGAATTATAGGCTGAAAAGAGTATCTGGATGAAACATTTCAGAAGACAATTTGTGTTACCTATTAAAAATGGCCACATCAGTGTACACTTCTCCCTCTCCACCACTGAAATAACATTTGCTATGGTTACATCACAGACAGTCTTCTACAGAACATAAATGCCAAACACACAGTTCAACACTAATTTCTCCTTACACAGAATACAGATGACCCCTTTGACCACCAACCTGTCTTTCATGCTAGTTTTAGAAACTCTGTCAGGAAAAAATAAAAATTTCTGTGGCTTGCGGAACTTTAGGTGGGGGATATAAGGTCTTGACCAGCAAATATGAAAGTATATTGTTTGGTTTCCTCTCAATATCAATACTTAGTATCACATTTTAGGTCTTGTAAGTGCTCCCATATGTTTCAGAAATAATTAAATATTTATTGACATTTTGGCCTGCCTTCTAAAGATGAATATCCTTCAGCTGTTAAACATTTGATAGGTTTGAAGTTGGGGAAGTTTTTTTTATTTAATATTTTTATGCTCTTGGATATACATATACAAAAAAAGACAAGAGGTGACCTAAGTCTTTTGATGTAGGGATGGGAACTCTAGGAAAAAGGCAACAACTTTCAAACCTCTCAAGCTGCCCTTGGAGAGAAAGGAGGCGGTGGGTGATCAGTGTGCGTCCTGTCATGTGATGAAGCTTATCAAATCAGGATTTGTTCTACATAAACCAATAAACTCTGATCTAGTTCCTTGTTTTGTAACGTTATGAAGAACGAAGACTGCTTATTCATTGGGAAATAAGGTTTTTAAAAAGGCCCTCAAGTGAATCCTTTCTCTTTCACCCAGGAAATCAGCCTGATGTTCCATTGGGAAAACAAACCTCTGACCTTGAAGCTACTAACATCGAAGGGATACAGAAGGCTGGCGGATGAAGGTTCATCCCCCCAAAAAAGACTGAAATGTTCAGACACGGTTCCCCAAATAGACAGATTCCCAGCCTTGCGGGATTCTAAGCAAATAACCAGAATTCACTCGGGGCCAAACCTTCATCTGTAAGCAGACATTTGCCAGCGGTGCTCTGGCCTCGACCCCTCCTCACCGCTGGTTTTCAAGCCTCCCTGGCTAATGGCTAATTCCCTCCTTAATTTGCCTTCACCTTGGGAAAGAAGAAAGAAAACAAAGTTTTTCCACTCCAGTTCCCAGTCGGTTACAATTCGAGGAGAAGGAATAGCTGGAAAACCTCCCTCGTGGAAAAAGCTTCCGCTGGAGGCTACCGTGGGTCGGGCCCACCTTTGGCTTCAGCTTGACAGATGTGATTCGCGCGTTCCCAGTGCTGCGGGCCTCGGGGTCCCCCAAACTCGCGCTACGTTCGCCAGGTCTGGGCTGCCCCCTGCCCACCCCCTCCCACCCCCGCAGCGGTGCACATTTCAACTTTTCAGCTTCCCGGTGGAACTCACAGTAATTGAGTCGGGAGGGTTATTTTTCCTGGCCTCGCCTCGCGGCCCAGAGACTGCAGGGAGCTTTCGAGAAGACATCGCCTCCAACCCCGCGACGCCCCGGCAGCTTCTGAGCGCCGCCCGGGCCTCCGCCCCGCGGGAACCGGGAGAGCGATTCTCGCAGCCGCGGCCAGAAGGCTGAGGCCGGAGGGTGAAACCACCAGGGGTCCCAACGGAGGGCTTATGCCCGCCCCGCTTCACATGTGGGGTCAAATCGCATTAACACCAAACCACCAACGGGGCAGTAGCAGGTGGTTAATTGCAAAAAAACAGAGTTAACTGCGAGAGACTAACTTTACAGGAGGGGTGACTTGGTTTCCCTCCGTAGGCTTGTCATAAAAAAGAAGATCCCTCCCTCCTCCTTAGTTGGAAGGAGGGGAATGGTTATCTGCCGGTCCGGGAGAAGGCTGGTGCACACCGTCGGTTTAGGGTGACCGGCAGGCGGGCGCGGTAGGCACGCGGGCTTCCATCCGCGCGGCTATTGGAAGCAGGTTCCGCTCACCCCTCACTGGAAGGTAAGAGCTTTGGCATCTGGAAGCGTCAGAAAGGAGGCTTTTGCCATAAATCATCCTGAAAAGCATTCAAATCAGACAAGCGTCTAGAGACCCCTTAGACACTCCGCCCCCCAAATCCTAGATCAAAGTGCAATTCCTGGAACCATAAACACCTATTATAAGCAAAATGTTCCTTATCTGGAGGATGCTAAAACTGAGGCGGAAAGACGGGGTAAGGGGGCATTTGTCGCTGTAAATCCCCTGCACAAAATTCACAAAGTCTATCTTTTAACGTCGTCAACTGCTTTCTTGGAGGCAGCCAACCACAGCGCTTCTAAACTCGCCCAATGCGCGTTTCTGGAGTCCTCCGAACAGCTGGCGGGAGCGTTTAGCACCCGGGACTGGACATTCGTTTTCGCTTGTTTTTTCAACCAGCAGAAGCAGGTGCGAGAGAGTCCAGGGTTTGGGAGGTGGAAGGCAGAGAAAGAAAATCCAGTTGGTGCTAGTTCAGAGGACTGCAACCTCTCCTTACATAACACTAGGGCTGCAAACTTCGTAGTCCGAAACGTAACGCAACGAGCAGAAATCACACGCGCCCAGGCAATTTCTGCTCTCGCTGAACTCCCAGGGTAGCTGCGTTACATTCGCACCGTAACACTTCGCAAATTTCCGAGATCTCTAAAGGGGGATCGTCAAAGGGACGGGAACACTAAGAGGGGACCTGGAAGGGAGACGTCTTCGATTCTGAGAGAGCAATTTTCTCGCCTCGGAAATGAAAAGACCCAAACTTCCCCCACGACTTCCTTGGTCAATCCGGAGTCAACCGAGTGTAATGAAATCTCTAGTCTGGATGGAGCACGGATGGCCCGGCAGGCGTGTAGGGCGGAAGCTGGGGGTGGGGTGGGGGGTGCGGGGAGGACCATGCAGGAGAGACCTCCCCCCACATACATCCCCTGCTGGGAGATGCGCTGGGCGCGCGGGTACCGCGAGATGGGGCATCGTGAACCCCGCTGGCTGCGAGCGGACTCCGGGGCTGAGATTATTCAACACGTGTCTTTTACCCCTCACAATCCATTTCCTATGCATGATTTACGAACGGACCACTTTGATCAGGCACGGTTTCATCTGTCCATTACTTACAGATGACAGACGCGGCTGCTAAAAATGCCTTCTCCTCACTGTCCAAAAGTTTGCCGCACCCCCCCACCCCGCCCCTTTCCCAAATACTGTGGCATTTTCCTCTGGCGATTCCCCACCCCCTGCCTCTCCTCTCCCCTGCCCTACCCCCAGCCCCATTTGCTCTATTAGTTGCAGCCCCTCCGGGTGTTTTAAGTCAACAATAACAACAAAAAGCTCCGGGCATGGTCAGCTGGGAGCCAAGACAGGCATATTTGGGGCACTCTATCTCCTTGGTACCACAAGTATGGGGGTCCTAAGAAGGCTTCCACTCAGGGACCTGGAGAACTCGCTCCCCAAGTGCGAGGGGCGGCGGAGCCCGCCTTTGGAAGGGAGTGGGCAAAAAACCCCTGCAGTCCAGTCCCGGGCCCGGTTCTGCCAAGAGAAGGGACCAGAAACCGGGATGCAGAGGGCAGTGTCAGCCCACGGTTGTCTTCGGGCCTGGCCTCAGAAGAACAACCACTTTGGCTTAATTGGGGAGGAAAGGAGGCGGTGGGAGAAGGGGGAGAGGGGATCACGTTACGGAGCCTCCTGGTCCCTAATAGGTAAAGGAAAAACGGAGGCTCAGAAGCGGTTATTAATAGTAGATTGTGTGTGTGGTAGTAGTATTTCATTAAAACCATATCCTGGGACAGAGAGTTGCTTCTTTCATGTTTCTTTGCTTTGTTATTACTCTGACAGAAGTTCCAAAAACAGGATTTTCCAAATCAAAGAATCCCTGGAGTCTTCTCCCCTTCCCAGCCCCATTACTCCTTCACCAGGCTGCTCCTGGTATCATTATCTCGGTAAGGATCCTTATACTCTTGATTTAGCTGGAGGACTTTTAATAGCGGACTGGATTAAATATTGCAGACTCCAGCCTGGGCCATTTGAAAATCCGGGTCGTGGACTATGCCTAACTTCAGAGAAGGAAAACTGATCTATGAGATGTGTTTTAAGTTTCACTCAGTCGGGGCCTGGAGAAAAGGAAGAGGAAGAAGGATTCTCTGCCCCAGGTCTATTTTATATATTTACGAGTTAGAAGTTTTAAAAGGTGTGTGTTGATAGGGGGTAGCAAGAGGAGTCAGGGAAGAATGAGGCCAGAGGCAACCTTAACAAGAGGCTAACTGAAATGTCCTTCTTCCATGCGGTGAAACAGGGGCTTTATAAGAACATTTTAAAGAATGCTGATCTGGAAGGTAGGGTTCTGCCCCGGGAATGGAATCCCAGAATTTAGGGGTGCATCAGCAGACCTCTGGGAAGGATTCATTGTTATTGCTAAAGTTGCAGCACTGAGAAGTTCTGGGTTTGTTCACTGCATGTTGGTGTTCAACAATGCTAACAGTACTTTGGTGTAAAGTTTCAGGAACAAAAGAGGAAAAGAAATGTGGACTGTTTTGTGCAGTACTATGTTTAGAAATGGAGGTCTGGAAGCCTCAGAGGAGAGCTTTACATAGCAGAGTCAGCGAGTCAGGGTCCAACCCAACATTCATCAAGGCTGGGCAAATGCAGAGGGGGAGGATCTGAGATTTTAGTCCAAGGCCCTTCCGGGTCATCACCAGATATGTTCTGTACCCAAAGGTGACAAAGCAAGGTTAAGTTCCTCCAGGGATGGCTAGATGGGTGCTTAGATTCCATGCTATGGAGAAAAGAGATGTCTGTTCATCTGGTCTTGTGCATTTAAAAAAAAAAAAGAAAAAAAAAACCAGAAAATGATTAACCCTTAAAGCTAATATGATCACTTCAAATGTATTTCAATTCTGATCACACCTTTGGAAATCCAGAAAGGACTCAGAAAAATTCTGACAGTAAATTTACATTTAATATTGTGGAAAAAATACTCGAACTTTGAAGTTCTGTTTAAAGAAGAAAGCTGAACTGGTGGCTAAAGAATAACTGTAAGCCAGGTGCAATGTCAGTTTAACAAAGACTTGGGAATAGTGTTGCATTTAAAGGAAGAGTCACAGCACAGTTCACTTAATATACAACCTTTAGAGTTATTGTCGACAAATATTTAAAACCTTAATATGGACAGAGACCCAAGCCTGTGCCACATGGTAGGTAACATTCACCATAACCCCCATGAACCTCTCTCTTAAATACAGAGAAAGGAATTAGACTGTTCCACAACTGGGCAACTGCTAATTCATTTTAATTTTGTTTATAAAGCGAACTTCCTTCTTATATGTGGAGGTGGGGGTGGGGAGTCCTATCTGTACAAGTCATTAAAAAAAGAAAAAAACAAACCTTTCAACCAAACCAATGATTTAACTGGGTAAAGTCCCTACACCGTGGGCGGCAGAGATCCCTAGCGCTCTGGATCCTCCCCAGGAGGGAGGGATAACCTGCTTGTCTTTCAGCTCATTTAAGCATCTTGAAGGTTTCGGGCCTGTCAGGCCTGGCATTCCTTCCCTCTTCTTATCACTCTCTACCCCTTCAAAAAGGCAATTGATTAGTTTCAGCTTTTCCAAACCGAGATTCGATATGTTTCTCAGGATCAAACGTCTTTGAGAAGCTAAGAGAGTAACATGGGGGATGGGGAATGTGAAGAAAGAAAACAGGGGCAGGAAAGAAATGCGCCCTCCACCCAAACCACCCACACCCAAGCCACCTAGATGAAGGGGGATGGGGGGGCGGATGAGGGAGGGAAGGGGTAGGGTGGCGCTGGCCAGAGGATTGGACTGTGACCCCTTCTGGAAGACGCACTTAAGATGTGTCTTCCCTTTCCGGAAGCAAATATTTAAAGGAGAGAATAGATATCTAGAGGAGGAGGAGGATGATTTATGCCTGGGTTTTCCCTCCAAGCATTTGCCTCCCTTATATTTACAGGCGTGGCCCCATTTGCAAGTTGTACATCTGTTCTCTTCACGTGACATTTCATAAAAGCCCTAACATCTGGGCAAGATAAACTTCCTTCAGGTACCTGCTTAACTTTTCACTTGTCACGCTCGCCTCACTCGGGGCGCGTCCCTTTCCCCTCTCCTCCTGCCTCGATGGTGGGGTCTGTGGCGCTTTTTGTTCCAGCTAGTTTCTGGGACACCCCTGACCCCCAACCACAGATGACCCAACTTCGCCCTTCCTAGCGCCAACCTTTGCCAAGACCGGTTCCTTCCGCAGAAACCGGGTCCTTAACGTCTCCCGCCTCTGGTTCCACTGTCCAGGTAAGTGACGGCACCATCTTGCACCCAAGGAGAAAAGTCATATTTTCGCGGATTCCGGCTTTAGACCAAAAACAAAACAAAAAGCAAAAAAACCTGCCCAAGAAACAGCAAACTCGCGCCTAAATTCGACCGTCTCATACACATCCATATATCTCAGCGCAGGGAGGGACAAGGAGCAGGTAATTTTGATGACTGCCTTTGCATTCAGCACTCGCTGTGTCTTGTAGAGAGCATGCTTTACAGAAACTTCATTTCATTTGCTCACAACCTCCCCGCCCCCACCCCCCCCCCCAAAGGCTGCCTTCTGGGATGAATGCTTTTAGAATTGCTTTCTTCTTTTCCTAATCTGGAATTTTGTTCCTCTGGCTTCAGCCTAAATCGCCGCCCGCATAAGCACGAAGACACATCCACAAACTGAGGGGGGGGGGGGGTTGGGTGGCGGAAATAGAAGAAAAAGAAAATATTCCACGTAAACAAGAAAGGCTGCAGGGGGATCGAGGCCCTAGCTGCAGCAAACCCCAAACGATCTCATTGCAGGGCGCCCACGAAATCCCGGCTATAATTGAGTGTTTTCTTTGAGGTTTTCTGACCATGTGCTTTTTACCATGGTTACTGTGACTCTGATACGAGAAGCTGGATATTTATTATGACCCGTCTCATCCTTTCCCAAAGGCTTATCTCCGCGGCCCTCATAAAGGAGAATAGAAAAGGAGAACTTTCCTGCCAGTGAGTTTAACCTGCCCCACCTTCCAGTGACCTGCCACATGCTCCTTCTTACTTTATAGACATCTGGGAATTCCATACATGCCTTAAACTCCAATTACACACCTTCTTCAAAGGACACGTGCTTTGATTTGCTAAGAAAATATTAGGAGGGCTCACGTTCTGGGGCCTTGGGACAAAAGCAAATGGAAAATGTATCCCATGGCCTGTTTACTGGGTCCATCTTTTGCTGTTCAGTAAGCAAGGATTATTAATAATCCCGTTTGCGTTTTCCAGGGCTTCGGTTGCTAGGTGTCTGCGAATCAGTGGGGTGATCGGCTTTCAGAAATTATGAGGAAACCTATTTCTCTTTCCGCTTTGCCCGTACACTTTCCTTCCACTTTTGCCGGTGCTGGGGGCGGGGCACGCTTTACGGCAAACCAGGAGAAAAATCTGGAAAAGTGGCCCCCGGGGACCCCTTTCCCGACCCCTGTTTGTGGCTGATGCGGGCCTGTCTCTGGAAAACGAAGTTGGGCCTTTGCCTGAATCTCTTGCTGCTGCTCCCCTTGCTACCCCTGACACTTGGAGCCGCCTCCTCCGCGCGCAGCGGCCCGACGCGGGGCCAGGGGCTGTCCACGCGGTCCCCGGAGGCCTCGGACACTGTCGCCGTCCCCACCGGGCGGCCCGCCCGCCACCCACGCCGGGAGTCCGGGCCGCCCCCGCCCGCGCTAGCCGCAGGTGAGACTCCCGCTCCCCACGGAGTTCTGTTTGGGTTTCCGTGGCGTTTGTTCCCCGCAGGTTTGTTTGTTTTTCTTCAAATTACAGATGCAGGGAAAACCGCCTGACATCATGAGAGTGGGACAAACGCTCACTTTGAAGGATTCCTGGGCAGGACTTCAAGTGAAATCATATGCCTGAGAAGAACTTGATACCGGTCTAGAGAAAATAACCAGTTCTGAGTTTGCCAAACCGTGGAATGTGCAAAATGCTCGACTTTTTTGCAAGAGGCCAAATGTCCCTTAAAAAGCTCCATTATGAATATAAGCCTGAGGACCGAAGGAGTAAGAGGCTTGTGTCCTTGCTGAGTGTGGGGGAAAAGTACACAGGCTGTGTGCTTTTCTGCTCTCTCACGTTTATTAAAATGTTCCACTTTGGGGAGGGTACCTGCAACTGTGCATAAATTATCATTTGTGCATGTGTTTGTTAGCAAGCGTGTGCATAAAGGGGAAATGTGTGTAATGGGAACACAAGTGTACTGCTTTCTTGTGATTGAAGCCTATCAATCCAATGAAATTAAAACCATGATTAAAAGATCATGTGCACAGCAGAGGAAACGTTCTTAGTCAGTTATTTAGAATTCATCCAAGACAATTTAATACAATACTTTCCCTTCACTGATACATTCTGGCTAAAGAGAAAGACTCCTGGGTCCAGATACCGCATTAAATTCTCACTTCTGAAACAGGTAATTCATCCTAAATGCCCTTTAAATAAGAATAGGTAATAAACATGAGATGAGATGAAAAGAGGAAACATTGATAGAAACACAGTGCTTCATTTCTGTTCTGAAGCAGAATTGGTGTTGTGGTGTGTAAGGGATGGGGGAAGTTGTGTATACAGAAAATAGTCTGGCAAGCTGAAAACTAGATTCTTATAGTTAATATTTTCCACTGTGAATCCTTCTCACTCAAAGCAAAACTATTCACATTTCTTTCATTCATCTGAAAATGTCAAGAAAAATATTAGCTTCAGTTTAGTATTTAGTATTACTCAACATAAATGTGACATTTGCTTTTCTCCCAAGTTGAGAGCTCTCTCACACACTCACAAGAAAAAAAGAAAAAAGGCAAATGGAAGGCTACCTTTTTTGAAACTTTTAGTTTCTACATCATCAGAAATAAGATCGGAATTACCTTCTCGGCCTGGATGGTCAGCTCCATTCTGATGTACGTCAAGAAATCTGAAATATCAAATAGTCAGACCAAGCTAGTAACAAGATTCCTCCATGAACAATTTAGAAAATGGAGGTGGTTCGATCACACAGAAGAGAAAATCACCTTCTAGATGCCCTCCCTCATTTTCTAGGGCATCCTTCTTTACATTTCTGTTCTACACACACATACACACACACACATACACTCCACAAATCAGTTTCTGTCCTGTTATTTTGTAAAGAACTATAAAAATCTAAAAAAGCATTTCCTGAAGGTTTCACTAATCTTCTGGTATAAGTAAATTCTACAGGTTCCTTATTGCAAAACATGGTCTGAAATACTTACAATAATAAATTTACAATATTGTTATGTCAGCATTCTATGATGATGTGTGAAAAAGAGGGGAAACCTTCAGGTAATATAATAACCTCAACCAGAGCTGAGCAAACACTATTTTGAGTCACACATTTATTTGCTGTAGTCATTATTTGAATTAGGCAGCAAAATTATTTTCCAGTTTGAATACATCCCTAATTATACTTGAAGGCAATAAGCTGGATATAACTGAAGAAGTTAGTGATACAAACTCACTATTTCCAATGGTATTCATTATAAAAGCTAGTATTTTTCTGGCCCAGAAATAACTAGAATGAAATAAAAAGTCATGTACTATTTGTCCATGTTGCACTTTTACTTAACTAAATCAGATTTTGTATACATAAGTAACCAGGGAAAAATTCTGTGGATAAATTTTACAAAATATATTTGCTAGTGAACTGACTAGAAAATGAACAGCTATAGCATTTAAAATTGCAACTGTTCCAATAATTACTGAAGATACTGAAAATTCAGATTCTTTGTTTTCTGTGTAGCTGTATGGAGCAGCTTATAAGGAGCCTGCTTTCCAAATGGATATCAATATGGGAAAATATTAACTTTGACTTTTTGTTTTAGCAAATGACATTAAATGTCATTCTCGTTCGTGAGAGAAAGTTAAGCAAATTATAAGTGGAATTCTCTTTCATGTGGAATTATTTTCTATACATTTGTAGTCATTTACATGTGTGTATACACATCTATCTATAGATAGGTAATTTTGATAACACTTTATGCATACTTTCATTGAAATAAACCTATTACTTAAAAATCCTCATAAAGTGTGGAGAGCATGACAAAAACACACAGTAACAAGAGAAAATAGTGCTGACTTATACTGCTTATTTGCTTAACTGTTTTACAACTGGATTCTCAAAATATAAGCAAGAGAGGTGAATAACTATTAAGTTTTTGCTGTCTGGGGACCTGATAAGAGATGAAGGAGAGACGCTAAGTTCACTGAACACCAAATGGGAATAATGATAAAGCTGTCTTTCTACGTAACATGCCCCTACCTGTCAATAACTAGTTTGAGGTTTTCACTGCTTTGTTTATATTAATGCCCTCTCACCCTCCTGGGTGTCTCCAGAGTTAAAACAAGCAGGTATTTACTGCCAACTTAATCCTTTAAAAATATAGACCAAACTTTAAGGTTCTTACAATTTTCAATCATATTTATTTATTGCAGAAAAATAATGTACAAAGATATTTACAAAACAATCATAAAAATATGAATGCATTTAGACACCGGATCTATTTGCATTTTACCATGGGTCATCAATAAATAAATAGAATGTTGTTTTTTGTTATTTTAAGTTTTTTTTTCCCTCAGAGGAAGAATGGAAAAAGGAATTAACTGACTGTGATTTTGTGAGTCAGTTTGATCCCAATATTTTTATTTCTAAAGGTGTTCTTAAAATTCCTCTGATCTTTACCATTTTAAAATGGAGAAAGTCCATAATGATGCCTTTCCTTTCAGTGGCTGATTGGCACGACCTCTTGAGAATGCATGCATGAAAAAATAAAAATAAAAACATTCTTCGTCAAACAAAACAAAACAAAACAAAAAAAACAACAAAAAAGAGGAGGAACACAAACAACTGTTCAAACTTCTATCAGAATGCAGAGGTGTGAGGATGGTGCCGCTGCCCGTCTGGGAATCACTGTCCACGGGCCTGTCTCGCTTTCTCTTTTAAAAGTGCGCCCCACGCCCTGTTTCTTTGAATTTGGGTTCTGCTCTTCTAATTTCCAAGAAAATGTTTGGCATATATATTTATTTTTAGTTATCCAGCTCCAGAGTCTCTAGACTGTCCATTTTCTCCTTCTCTGGAAACAATGACATCTGCAAAAACCCAGAGGGGGGAAAGTTGGTTATTGTTTAGGTCTCTGTGGCTGTTTTGTACAACTAGTGAGCACTGTTCTTATCACCACCACGGAGAAATTGCGCTGAACAACCTGGAAGGATTTCAGCCCAAGGGCAAGAGGAAGTGGGTGGGCGGAAAGAAGGAGGAGGTGGAATTTGGAAACATTTGTTTTAAGGAGAACGAAAACTTAAAGCCAAAAGAGAGAGAGGCGCTGGCAAGGCTGTCCTTACCCGTGACCCTCGAATCTTTTTCGGTCTTCCCTCCTGTCACGCACACTCACGCACACGCACACCCCTCAGCAGGGCGCATCCTCCTCTCCCTAGCGGGGACTAAGCTCCCTTCCAGGAACCCGCGGGGGGATGAGGTGGCGGTGCCAGGTTAGGTGTGAAAGCGGAGAGGGGAGTGGGAGACGGGGAGGAAGGCCGGGTGGATCGGGAGCCGCACCCCAGCCTTCCGTCTGCCACCTGAGAGGCGAAGGGGCGCAGAGGCGCCGGGTCCTTACCTAGGTCTCCGGCCCTGCCGAGGGGGTGGGGAGCTCCGCCTGCTAGTGGGACGCGGACATGGACCAGGCCCCCTCCATCCTCCAGACCGAGAAGGCGTAGCTGAGTCGCTCGTGGGCCACATAGCTGCAGCTTGCCATCTTGGAGTCCAGCTCGTCGCTCTGTAGGACCTGGTAGAGGAAGTCGATGTACCTGGCCGCCAACTTGAGGGTCTGGATCTTGCTCAGCTTGTCGGAGGGCAGCGTGGGGATGATCTTCCGCAGCGCGGCAAACGCCTCGTTCAGTGACTGCGTGCGCTGGCGCTCCCGCACATTGGCCATGACCCGCTGCGTCTGCAGCTCCTCGTAGGACTGCGGACTCCCGCCGCCGCTGCTGCTGCCGCCGCCGCCCGCGCCGCCGCCGCCGCAGCCCGCAGACTTCTTGCCGCGCTTGCCTTGGGCCGGGCTGCCAGGCTCCTCGCCGCCTCCGACGCCCCCGCCCGCGGCCCCGCCGGGCCCCGCGCCGCCCCCCGCGCTGCGCCGGCTGCTGCGCCGCTTGCGCCCCCCGCGCTTGCCGCTCGGGGGCTGCTGCCGGTCCGGTTCTTCCTCGCTGTTGCTCAGGCTGTCGTCGGCCGGCGAGACTGGCGAGCTGGACACGTCCTGCATCATCTCTTGGGCGGCGACGTGCGGCCTCGCGGGCCCGGGGCAGAAGGGCGGCCCGGGGAAGAGGAGGAGAGCGGGGCGCCTCAGCCCGCCAGCTTCCCCCGCGCGCGGCGCCGGCCCGGGCGGTGCGGCCCGCGGAGGAGGGAGCGGGAGGAGGGACAGGGAGGATCTCCGCGGGGAGGGCGCGCGGGGGAGGCGGGGAGGGAGGCGGGAGGGGGAGGGGACGGTGTGGATGGCCCCGAGGTCCAAAAAGAAGGCGCCCAACGGCCGCACGCACACCCCGCTCGGCCTCCTGGAAACGAAGCCGGTGTCGGCGAGCCCGCGAGGTGTCTGGGAGCTGGGCGAAAGCTGGAGACTTGGAGGCTCTTATACCTCCCGTGCAAGCGGAAAGTTTGGGGGCAGCAGTGTCATTGGCCTGACGTGGGGAGGAGGGACTTTTCGAAGTTTTATAGGAAAGTTTCCGCTTTCCAGCCCCCCTTTCTCGTCCCCACCCCCCTTCCTCGGGGTCTAACAATTCGTCCTCCCAAACCATTCAAAAACGACCTGGCCCAGGCGGCCGGCCCCTCTGCCCGCCTCCTTGCTGCCCTCCCCCTTTCTTCCCCGCCGCCCTCCGCCCGCGGGCGCGGGGCGATTTCCTTCCGCGCCGAAGCGCGCCGGCCGCACCCCCGCACCCGAGCGCAGCCCGGGGAAGCGACCGGAGGGGACCGTACCCGCCGCCTTGTCGGTCCCTCCTGGAGCGCCTGTGACGGCAGCGGCGACACCGGCTTCTACACAGTGGGTGGAAGTCTCAGCTCGCCCCAGTACCCTTTAGGTCCGTGGAGCGGTTTGGGATCGCTGGGGCGGGGGTACTGGCAAGAATACCTGCGACGGCGGAGCCCACCCGATGGTCAGGTAGACGAGGCCCTGGAGCCCCAAGGGCCAAACCACCGTGGCTGGTCCTGAGGTCGTGGGCGTTTCTGAAGACGTGGCCGCGCCAGAGACTGTAGATCTGCTCCTCGGCCTGTTCTCTCATCCTTCCTCGAGAAGCAAGCCGGGCCTTTCTTTCCCCTCCACAGTGACCCAATCTGACGTTTCCCAGCACCCAAAGGACTACACCTCCGAAGGTGCTAGAAAAAGGCAGAAGTTCATTCCCCCGAAGAAGGCAGCCCTGTTCTTGGAGAAGGCAGCAGGGCCGGAGGTGGGCAGCGCAGTGTCTTCGCCAAGGCCCTGATTGCCTGTGCTGCTAGTCCAAGGTGGAGTGCCTGTGGCCACTTCATCCTCATCCCCTTCCCAGATAAAGCCCTGCATTATGACTGTAAATGTCGTCTGAGACAGTGAGATGGGGCTCGACATTGCCTGGACACGCGGGGCTGAGGGCTGCGAGGGCCCCCTTCCCCACCCTCACTGTCCACCCCTGGGAGGTTCAGTAAGCAATTCTGTTCCGCGTGCCACAAACGCAGCGCAGTTATTTGGACACTTTTACATTTTAAGCGTTTCTATTTAATAAGTCACAATGAAGAGGCCCAGAAGAAGGTGTTCATGTAGATTCTGGCAAGTCGGAAGCAACAAAAGTTCGTGAGCTGGAAAGGAAAGGATGCTGCTGTGAAAGAGAAGCCCATTTTTGCGATGCTAGGCTTTTTTTTTTTTTTAACGAGTCGGGAGAGAATAACCGTTGTATGTTCATTCTTTAAGTTGTAAAGCAAACCAGAAGTCAAAAGCAGTAATTGTTTTTCGGGGCACATTTGGGAGTGCGGAAGTTGGGTGCCCTGTGTTCTGGTACCCTGCGCAGGCCGAGGTCTGCTCATCCTGTCCATCGTCTGGACTCTAAGCAGCGAATTAATTCAGAGAAGCTTCCTTTTCTGGGCCAGACGGAGGGTCTCGGCCCACAGTGTCCTGAGGAGCAGGCGGGAGCCCAGGCGAGGCGCGGGCAGGCCACGTGGCTGCAGCCCGCTGAGGTTCCCGGCTGCAGTCCGGTCCCAGAAACCCTGGGGTCTGGAGCGCCGGGGGCCGGTTGAAGGGTTCAGCCTCCTAGGGGAAGTGAGGGCGAGAAGAGAAGGATCCATTCCGCGAAGGGCAAAGGAGACTAAGCTTTCGTGGGAGGGGCGACCCGCAGGGTTCATCTATCACTATTTTTTACAAATATTCATAGACAATGACCACAGCGTGCCAACACGCCTGCTTCTCGGGTCGCTGACATATTTTAAAATGAATGCCTGTCTGAAAATCAGATACTTCTTGACCTCCACTTAATAGTTTACAGCCGGGTCTTCTTAAAGCACGTTCAGATAAGTCACTCCTGTGAGTGCATCTTCTGCATACAGGATATGATTTCTTGGAGCAGTTAGAGAATAGGCAGAAATTGTTTTCTTAACTTTTGATCTCTGAGCATTCCGCAGTTCTTATTTGAACGTTACCTATGTCTGTGGGTTGTTGTTATTTTTTCAAATGTTATTTTTCCCCCTTTCAGCTGAATACTCGAAAATAAAGAGATCAAATAATTGGACTCTTTCCTTTGTGGCTATGGGTAAGGAAGACAGGAAAGTGTGGGCAAGGTAAAGGAAACCTTACCTGCCCAAGGGGAGTTGGAGGGGTGGGGTGGGTACTGGGATGAAAATGGGGCTGAGAAGCCTAAGGAGAAACCGAGTCCCCAACAGCGCAGCATTAGCTGGTCCGACTTGCAGTCATCAATCTCTAAGACTAGTTCCGTTTTAAATGAGCCCAGCCCTGCTCTGGGCACTCAACTTCTGGAGATAAAGAGCTCCTAGCCACTGCCTACAGAGATCCCCGGGAGTGAGGCCATGCTAGGGATGCCAGAATGCTTAAAATAGTGTTTAACATGAATGAAGTAAACCAGAACTATCCCAGGCACGGAGTCTTCTTGACCAAGTCACATTGAATGACTTTAGTTCTGGAGGGAAATAAAAATTCTCTCCTACTCTTCAAAGGAGTGAAAAATGAGGATAAAAGTTCTTGAGTATTTAAAAGTTAGTTTTTAAACAGAAGGTTGTAGCTTGACTAATGAATTACCTTTCAAAATGTCTGAGGCTTGATGCTCCTACTTTGCAAACTGCAATCTTTCCTGGCCCATTGTCCCATCTGTATTCCACTTAACATTTATGTAACAAATTTCTTATCCACACTTGCTGGGGCAAGAATAAAGGCAAACTCTCTTTTTATGTCCTTAAGAGTTGAATATAATTCTGGATATTTTGTATATGCAACAATAATGATGACTTCCACAATATTTGGTTTACCATATGAAAACTTAAGGTAGTTCTAAAATCCCAATTTCAGGCTCTTTAAAAATGGTCTAGGAATTTCCCTTTGGGGCTGGACTCAGCCTGACTTAAAGGATGTCAGTGGAAGACTACCTTCTTTGGGAATTCTGAATGCACTGGAATTAAATCATTTAATCTACTTCTAAAATAAATGCCCTAAAAAAATTAACTGAAAACAGAAAAGTTTTTCTTTTGCAATCGGATAATTCAAAATGAGCTTTGTTTTCAAACTGCAAACTTGGCATGTTCACAGTCCTTCCTGAGGAATGTGTACTGTTAAAATGTGAAAAAAGAACACTGTTAGAAGTAATAGAGTTACAAATCTCATACTCAGCATATCCAAAAAGTATATATGTATCTGTATTCTTAAAGTTTGAATCCGCACTGGCATTCTCCTAGCAACCTGTATAAATACTTTCAGAGAAGGAAAGGAAACATGCATACACCATAATATTAGCAAGCTGGCACAGTTTGAAGTTGGGATTTGCACAAAAGGTGAGCACTTGAATATGTTCCTACTCCTTCCCCTCAGGTTTTGGATGACCTACCACCTGTTTGTTGGCTTAAGAGTTCTGTGAAATAATTTCTCTGGATTGCATGAATGAAGCATGGAAATATTCACACAGAAGGGGGCGCAGATTGGAAAAGGCTGCATTTGAGTACATCTCAGATGAGAATGTACACGTTAGATTTCATCTTGTTTTGAATACTTCACAGGGATTGAGATTACCTACTTCACTGTTTAAGTGAGGGAATGTTATCAAAGTGGAATATAAGGGTCTGTGTCAGCATAAGTGACCTGGATAACTGTGTGAAAGCAGATTCTTTTTCATTGACACTGGTAGCTTTCAGGATGTTTTACCTTCCCCTAAAGAGGTCATTCTCTTTCTCTTTTAATGGTAGTTTAATTCATGAATTTAACTGATTCTACCTTTGTCTTTCTTGATCTTCTTTAAGAATAGGATAAAAAATTATGAAATTTGAAGCTTCCAATCCAGAAATAAAATGGAAAAGTACAAGGCACAAGAAATGGAGTTCCCAACAGCACCTCAAATGAGCAAATCAAATTTTCAATAAATATTAATCTTTAAAATATCTGACATTCTGCACTGAAAATTAGGATAGGATTAGGAGACATAGTGCAACAGACTTGTAGGGAGAGACAAATCTGTGTGGAAAAGTATAGAATCTTGAGGAGTCTCCTCTCATCCCTTTTATTACTTTATTGGGTTTGCATGCTAGAAAGTTTATGTCGCAGCTTTGCTGCCACTAAAACTGGTTGAAATATGCTCTCACTTATTTCAGAGTTGCTGGAATGACTGAAGAAATAATGTAAGAAATACACAGTTATCCATAGTGGCTTTTATCATGGCCACAATTTTCCTACATCGTAATCATTTTTATCTCTTCTTTCTAATCATCTGATGATCAAATAATTTAAATATAAGTTGAATGGTTTACATTCTGTGTTTTTCCTGCTAAAGTTCCCTTTCTGATTACTCACAGCTTTCATCTCTCTCTTCACTTCAAGGGATTTCCTTTTTTCACAAGTGGCTTTTCCTGAAGCCTTAAATCCTATTTCCATTGTTTGGATTAATTCTTCCTGCAAAATCATGTTGTTTTTGCCAGTGACCACAAGAGGACACAATTTCCCAGAGAACTTTGTTGAAAAAGAAACTTATAGAAGAGGAAAGCTATCAAAATACTAAAAATATTACACATCAAAGAATGTCATTTGTGGAATGC